AGGGAGGGAGGGAGGGAGGGAGGGAGGGAGGGAGGGAGGGAGGGAGGAAGGAAGGAAGGAAGGAAGGAAGGAAGGAAGGAAGGAAGGAAGGAAGGAAGGGGAAGAAAGAAAGAAAGAAACAAAGAAAGATTCAAATCATTTTAAAAGTGATTTTATTGCTCACATACTCAAGAGAATTTATGCCACTAGAGCAGAGGCTGTGGGCACTCATATTTCCAAATGCTCTTTAGGTCTTACTGATGAGCAAGCTGGTAAATTATGCTCCCTGTCAGAATCTTATCCTTTCTGTTTCTCTCAAGATGCATCGGACAGTGATTGCTTCCCTAACCAAATGATGGAGATTCTTGGAGAGGTCAGGCACAAGCATTTGGACATAAAGATTCTCAGGGTTTTATTACCGGTCACAAAATGGACCAGTGCCACACCATCGGAGTTTCTCTGGATCACACTAATTTGTGAGGGATTTAGGCCTTTCATGGCCAATTTGTAAATCTGTTCCTCCTTGTCATTAGATGTCAACTGTCAACTTCAGCCAGGTAGACCTGTTAAGATGGTAGGCAGCACCAAGTAGAACAGGCCCCCAGGTGTGGTGGTTTAAATATGAATGTCCCCCGTAGGCTCATACATTTGAATGCTTGGTCACCAGGGAATAGCACTACTTGAGAGGGATTAGGAGCTGTGTCCTTGTTGGAGTGGGTCGCGCCTTGTTAGAGGAAGTGTTTCTCTGTGGGGTGGGCTTTGGGTTTCAAAAGCTTAAGTCAGGCCCAGTCACCCTCCTTCCTGCTGCCTTCAGATCTAGATGAAGAACCCTCAGTACCTTCTCCAGCTCCATTGTCTGCCTGTATGCCACCATGCTCCCCACCATTGATGACAATGATCTAAACCTCTGAAACTGTAAGCAAGCTCCAATGAAATGCTTTCTTTTATAAGAGTTTTTGTGGTCTTGGTGTCTCTTCACAGTCATAGTAACCCTAACTGTTAGCATTCTGTCTAAACTTCACCCCACAGCTACCTGGCAACATCCAGGTAGGTCTGACCCACTATAAAAGGGGCTTCTTGCCCCCTCCTCACTCTCTTGCTTCTCTCTTGCCCTTTCTTTGCTTCCTTTGTCCCCTCTCTCCCCATTCCCTTACCTCCTCTCTCTCCAAGTGCTCATGGCAGGCCTCTCTCTACTCCTCTTCTCTCTCTCTCTCTCTCTCTCTCTCTCTCTCTCTCTCTCTCTCTCCCTTTCTCTGCCTCTACTACCCTCTTAACTCCCCTCCCTATGCCCTGAATAAACTGTATTCTATACTATACTGGTCCCTCAGTGGGAAGGGATGCCTTAGCATGGGCCTGCTGAGATATCCCCTTCCCCCAATACCTGACTATACCTCCATAGAATATATCTCCCCCTCTCTTTATCTTTTATAAACACAACACTAAGACAGAATTTGGTACCAGAATAGTGGAGTATTGCTGTGAGAAACCTGACCATTTGTTTTAGGGAGGACTATGGAAGGACTTTGAAACTTCGGAGTAGAAAGGGCATCATTGAAGTTTCAGAGCTCAGTGGGCTGTTCTGTAGGAGCTTGGAAGATAAGAATGTTGAGAACGTTGTGGAAGATGGAGGCCTGGCTTGTGACATTTCATGGGGAAGTTTAAGGACTCCGTCTGACCATTTGCTATTTTGAGTTAGGATTCTGTCATTCTGGTCAGCTGGGGATGAAGATTCGGTCAGGATTAACAAGAGACCAGCACTATTAAAGTGAAACCTTTGTGTTACT